CTGGGCACCCAAAAGGCAAGTCGCATCACCTTTCCCAGCATCAGTTTCCTTAACTATAAGAAGAAAGGAAACTGATTCAGATAGTTTTTTTCTTAAGTTTCCTGTATTCCTTTAGATGTAGAAGTCAATTACTTTTCATTGTAGCCTGAAAAGGTCATCAAATCACTGCTTTTATGGCATTTGGTAGCATTCAAATATATGCTCCCAAATCAACAGTTTGGAGGTGAACAGCACACGAAGTCAAAGTCAATCCCTGATTAATCTATTCCAAAAGGGTGATATTACTCACCTGCTCCTGGAGGTTTTTCAAAAGTGCCACCGCTCTCGGCAGGTCTGACTCCAGCACCTCCTATAGGAGGGGGAATAAAGAAAAGCCATTCTTCCCTCAGGATTCTGAGGTGGAAAAGCCCCCACTTTCCTTCGGACACCCCAGACTTCCGGCCTTCCCACTCCTGTTCACAACTTGCCTTCTAGCGGGCCAGCCCCTCCGAGGTTACTGGTGAGGAGCGGTAATTCCAGCCCCGTTTCCCCACGCTGTGCCAGGGAGGTTGCCTCCCTGAAGCCACGTTCATCACCACCCTTCCCTCGCGCCAATAATTTGCCTGAATCACTTAAAGTAAAGGAAGCATCCACAATAGCAACCTGAGAAAGAGAAAGAGAACACACCGTAGGCACCGGCGCCGCCATTGTCGCAAAGCCCGCCCCTTCCGGAGTCGTACTTCCTGGTTGATAGACTGATGGACACCGCTTGCAAATCTAAGCCAATAGGAATAGAGATTCTCTCACTTCCGCCTCGAACAGGATGTACTAGAGGAGGGACTGGGGCCAGCCAATGGAATAGAAGAACTGGTTAAATCCGACAGATTTAGGAAGGGAGCTAATGACGTAAAGATGTTCTCGAACGAAACATGTGATTAGTAAATTGAGTAGAATGATCGAAGCTAAACCAATAAAAACTGGGCAAATGATTGATTGGCAGTTATAGAGGCCCAATGGAAGAAAGGAGTTAGCAGAGCTAACTGAGAGCGTATTGGCTCCGGGATGCCGCAGTACCCGGAGTCTTCACGACGCTTCCCTTGCGGGGCCTGAGCCGGCCTCTAGGCGGCGGGCTTCTGCAAGTCGCCGAGGAGGTGGCCACGTTGTGCAGCTGCCACCGCCTGCTGCTGCTCCCGCGCAGGTCGTGCCGAATTGCTCACAAACCCCAAGGCCCTTGGATGGGGTTTGTGGCCGTCCTTCTGTGTAACCATGGAACTTTGTTTATCTGTAAATAAGACAGTTGGGCGAGAGAACCGGAGCCAGGGTTTAGACACGGACAACCAGGACATTCGCCCTCTTCGTGCGCATCTGAGGGCGCTACGGAAAGACACCCCCCACCCCCACCCCCAGATGCCGCCCCAACACTCCTCATAACTACCAGTTTGGAGACATGAAAGGGAGTACGTTTTACAAATAACGAAGCCGGTTCAGATTTAGGTGACTTGCCCCTGGTCACACAGGTCCCCAGCAGAACTTGGTTCAAACCCAGCCTATGCATATTGCATTATGTCCTACCTCAGATTTTCTCAGCACTCTCAACTGGGTCGGTTCACTCCTGCTTCTCGCAGGTAAAGTAGGTTGGATGGTAGGAGTCGTTCTCTTCGTCTGCCTTAGGAAAGAAGCAGCGCGAGAGCAAATGAAGGTCTTGAATTTGCCCCGCAACTGCGGAGCGGACTTAGGACTAGAAATCGGGTCTGACTTGGAGCTGCCTCTGGAATTAAGGAAGGACTAACCTCTGTATCTCAGCAGCCAGGGTGAGGTAGTCCTGGTTTCTAAATCATCTGTGGACTCAAGAAGAAGAAGGCAGCCTTGATCGGTTTGGCTCAGTGGATAGAGCGTCGGCCTGCGGACTGAAGGATCCCAGGTT